GACCTAATGTCGGGGGTTTAAATGGAGAGAAAATGTTTTGAGAAACGATGTACAAATGTGCTTTACACAATTGATGTGTGTATGATTTGGGATAACAGTTGTATGAGCCCCTAATAAAATGTTAAAAAAAACAAACAAACAAAAAAAAGTGCCAAGCTACTCTCTTCCCTTAAAGAGAACAATCAACAACAAACCTATTAAGTCATAATTTAATGAAAAAGACTGTTTCCTGAAATTTAACTTCAATGGGTTTGTTTCAGTTACACATCTGTAAGTGGCCAGGCTTTACAGAATCAGCTTTTTAATGCTAAATCAGTAACTGTCACCACAGTAACTTGTATCCCTTAAAACAAATAGCCCTGGTATTGAACTCTTCATTTCCAAATAACATCCACCCCCCCACCCCGACCCCCGTCTAAGACAAGGGGCTCTGGTGGCGAGTGGATGACAGTGAGCTGCTAACCACATGGTCAGAGGTTCAATGCCATCATGCAGCTGATAGGAGGAAGACGAGGCTTTTAACTCCCATAAAAAGTTCCAGTCTCGGAAGTCCAAAGGCCCTACTCTAGCTGTCTAAGAGTCAGAACTGACTCAATGGCAGAGAGTGTAGAAAGAGGTGCTGCTCCAACACGCGAACTGTTCACAATCAAGTAGCTGCGAGCTAATACCAAGGCATATTTTGTAACACAAGGAAGTGATAAAATCCTCAGGCAGCCACGGGTTTCATTCTCTAGGTCATACCCAGAGACTTCAATACAACATTCTCTCTCTACAAAACTGCAAGCAACATTTTTAGATTCACTTTCCACTCACTTCTCAAACACTTCCCATATTCCTCGCATCCCTCCTCTCTCCACACCCACATCATTCCAACTACTCCCGCCCCATTCTCAACAACAACAATTCAGTGAGAAATCTTGCTTAGATCCATTGGGCTGCTAACCAAATCACCAGCTGCTCCTCAGGAGACGGACGAGGCTTCCTAGTCCTGTGAAGAGTTAAAGAGTCTCAGAAACCCACAGGGGCAGTTCAACTCTGTCCCATACAGTCATCATGAGTCGGCTGGTAGATTTGAACCAATGCCCTTGTGATTAGCAGCCCAACTAGCCCACAGCACCAGCAGGATTCCTTTAGCTTGACTACACTAGACCCCACACAGCCAAATCAAAAAACTACTGGATTCTCTTTCCTCTCAATTCCTAACCTTCCCTGCAGCTGAGCTCAAGCCAACCAGCAAGCTTAGCTAAGCTAACCAATTAGACTGCGCTTACTTGTTCAGTTTGTACAGCGCTTCAAACGGTTTGAACCTGTTCAGTCATGGGCTAGGTTGCCAAACTGGAAAAGAACCCATTTTGTAAAATGTGGGTAGACCACCGTGCCTTCTCGAAGCTCTGGTCCTCACTCCTTCAGCTGACCCGACTCCGCCCACTGCATCTACTGGACATGGACCCCAACTGCTCCTGCGCCACCGGGGGCTCCTGCAAATGCAAAGAATGCAAATGCACGTCCTGCAAGAAAAGCTGCTGCTCCTGCTGCCCTGCCGGCTGCGCCAAGTGTGCCCAGGGCTGCATCTGCAAAGGGGCATTGGACAGGTGCAGCTGCTGCGCCTGATGGGAGAGCCTTGCCCAGCTGTAGATAGAAGCCCACCTGTACAAAGCCAGAGTTTTCTTTTTTCATACAACCCTAGATGTTTCCTACAGTCTTTTTTCTACAAAATATATGAAAGATAATAAAAGCTGGTGACTTAAAAAAAAAAAGTGGGTGTACTGGAACAGGAGCAGGAATGAAAACAGTGGTCAACGCCCCGGAATGGGAGACCCAGAAGAGGTATAGAGGGAGATCTTGGATTACTGACAGGGCAGTGACACACATTAAAGGCAACATGGTCAGCTGCCATCTCTGAACCAGATTCTAACTATGCCAATCAAGAGGTTTGGTTGCTGTACAATGCGCACACTGCCCTTTGTTTCCCAGGAGGGAGATTAAGTGTCTAGTCTACCAAGGTGTCTGCCTGTAGTTCTTCCCATTCCAGTCCCGCTCACTGCCCTTGAGTCGATGCCAACTCACAGTGACCTTATAGGACAGAGGAGAGCTGCCCCTGTGCATTTAAGACTGTAACTCTTTGCAGGAGTAGAGCCCTGTAAGACGACCAAGAGTGGCCAAGAGTTTGGAGCTGCGGGCCTTACAGGTTGCAGTCCATCGCTTAACCACTGTGCCACCAGGGGTCATTCCAGTAGACCCACATTTTACAAATCTGGTTCCATTCTGGTTTCATTTTCTAACCCATGACTGAACCAGGAAAAGCTGGCTGGTTTTAGCTAACCTCATTCAAAATGTTCTTTAGATCCCAAATATGGAAAGAAAATGCCCAAGGCCTGATCCAAAATTGCCCATCATAGATTCCTTGTTCCTCTGTGCCTTTGACTTAAAACCTTTCCACTTTCTACCACTCTGTCCAGAATGCTTATCGGACATCCAGACCAGAGGTCCCCCAATTCATGAACTGAAGAATAAAACTTAGGAGTTCATATACAAACTTAATACTGGGAAATTAAAAATTTTTAACATATGGTATTTGTGGGAGTATGCACATCCCACAATAAGGTAAGGGGGTTTTGTCTGTTTGTTTTATTATTATTCCCTGTACTCTCTTTGCATGTTCTTATTTGCTTCGTGTGTATTAGCACTTACTTAGTGGCACTCAACTAAATTATAAGTTCCTCATAAGCAAGGCAACTATAAAATTTGCTTCTTACCCCTACTCTTAGAAGTGTGCTGTGTATAAAAACACACACTATGTACTTCTTAGCTGGCTGTTTTTTTAATCTCTGAAAACACTCATAATCACATAAAAACGGAATTTCTCCCACTTTTAAAATGCAAAGTATTATTAGAAAAGAAGACTGAAAAATACTCGTGCATATAACCAGGGAAGATAACATAAGGAAAATGGCAACAACTGCCCTACCACAAACCCCGTCACTATTAAAGAAGATGAAGTCACAGGTTACATGACTCGGCAAAATTACTTCACACCTGAAGAATAGTTCATGCACCAGTGTCGATTTTAACATTGCTTAAGTTAAGAAACTGACCACATCTATTTATTTTTCTCTTCTTACTCAATTCATCATGGCCTCCTGGTGAGTCAGACCTGTGCAAACTGGCAGAGCAATCTATTTCCATTTCCTAAACAGAGACCTGACACTTAAGCACAATCAGGTGAAGTGTCTTCGACATATGCAAAATCAGTAAGTGACAAATCTATGTTATCAAGATAAGCACACACAGGAAAGAGAAAATACTAAAATCAGAGCTTCCCAGCCTGGCAAACAAAACATATTTTAAATAATGTTCTTTTAATGAAAAGATAAAACGGAAGGCCCAACATGTGATCTCTCTTGAATCACTTTTTGGTGAACCAACACAAGTATTAAAACAGTTCATAGTATACCATGAAAGTTAATACCAAATATTAGGAGCAATTAAGTACCACAGGCCATTAACAAAATAAAACACCCTTAATAAATATAACAGGACTAGTACCCAAACATTACATTTCAAGTTTCTTGACTATAACAATACAAAAGCCTGAAGGGCTGCAGGCCTTAAATGCTGTTCAGAGAATAAATGAGACCATTGGGGGCTTTGGCATTACTAGATACTATTTTTCAAATACATGATAATGATTATTTTAACTTCGATACACACGCATACCAGCTCTCTGGGGGAGACACAAACACAATGATCCAGAAACAGAAAAATCATCTGAATAAGAGATTCAACTTTTTTCCCTTTCTTTTAATGCCTGTCCGTTTTTTAGACCCAAACAAGTTGTGTGGAACAGTGGGCAGGCATAAAGAGCACAGTGTTGGCTGAGCTGGTCGGTCCCTTCTGGACTACATAGTCTCTACCGATTCCAGACAAAGGGGAAGTTGTAGGTCAGTAGACAATAAAGTGAAAACAGGAAATTACTCTACATTTAATATGAAAGGTATTTAAAGATTCAGACTCACCCCTTATTTTCAAGTCACAGTTACAATTTTTGCTTTTCCCCAAAATAGGATGGCACATTATATTAGAAATTACACATTAGAAATTCCATCTTGGAACCTGGAATGCAAGTGAATATCTTACCCCTAAGCTGGCTCCTCATACACCCAACAGCCATGCTCACAGGGTAGCCTCTAGAAACCAGATCCTCAATTCAAAACGCAAGCCTGTGCCGCACCATTGCACTGGTCACAACTCCTCCTGACTAGAGCAGATTGAACGTTAGCTCAAAAATGGTATAAACGCATTTTTGCCTCACACCATATACACATCAATGAAAGCTGAAAGCTACTGAAAATACCACCAGGCGGAGAACAGCACAGTCTGAAGCTATTACTGTCTCCTAACAAGCAAGGGCTTGCCCAAAGTAACACACCGACCGACGCGCCAGCTACTGCACACACACATCTTTCTGAAGACTACTCTTGCCCACATTTTTCTTATAAATTCAATTAAATGCTGGTGTTTATCTGTGCCAGGAAGTGACTATCTGTCATGATTTTAACACCCACCACCTTCCTACAGCATCTCTCCAGCCAGTGGAAAACTTACCTCTGCAAATTGTGTTGATGTACTATTATCTATCCGGCTGCCACCGCTGCCACCACCTAAAAAACTAAAGAGAAAAAGGAGTGAGTGGTGATTCTATTCCCAGGAGCAAGCTCCCCTCCCGGAAGCTAAATATAGACTGGCATAATGAGAACAAAGCCCAATAAGGAAAAATAAATCATCTCAACGTGACAACAGCAAAGCCAATTATGGGGAACTGACATGTGGATTAATCTATCAGAAATAGCATAGCAAACCACAAACTCAGGGCTAAACCAAATGAAAAATTGCAGATTAAGGCCACCACAGAGAAGGGTAAAGGACCCACAGCCAAGTAAAGCAATTCAAATTCGACCTACCGAGAAAAGGAAACCAAACATTTATTCTCAAAGAAGCTAAGAAATAGGATTTTCAAAAAAAAGAAATAAGATTTTCAAAACAATGAATCACTAAAAAAAACTTCTACCACCAGATGAACACAACTATTTGAGGTTATAACAGTTAAAGATTTCTTGGGAATGATTAAATGCGAGGAGACTAATTCTACACTTAGATGTCCAATAAATATTTCTTCTTCTCTGAGCACTCATTCTATAATTTTCTCAGTCCGTTCAGGGGCCATCTCAAATGCTGCCTCCTCTATAAAGTCTTTTCTGATCTCCCCAACCAAGTAGGACTCTACCACTCACCCCTGCTTTTGACTCTAGAGCCCCCTTGGCACTACAGATATCTAGGGCTTATACCAGCACTCCCACTTCTTTCCCACCTTTCGGAAAGTGTAAATTCAGAGTGCAGTCTGTAGTTTGTTAATGCACAAATGCACGTAAGGGTTATTAGCATCAGATGTTATACAGATTAATCACCTTTGAAAACAAGCAATGCAAGCACCCTCTAAGAAAACTATAAAATAAAAACCAGAGGTTTTAATTCCCACTGTGGAAAAACAAGGACGAGGTCCCCTCCTCCCAGCTCTTTCAGAATTCACTTTAGATGACTTGTAATAGTAAGCCCCAAGGCCCAACCTTTGTGAAAGGCTGCTCAGCTGCTGTCCAGAAAGCAGTAGTTTAAATCCCCCACAGAGGCTGTGAGGAAGAAAGACCTGCCATCCTCCTCAGGAAAGAAAGATGAAAGCCTGTTGCTGTCTCGTGGATTCCAAGTCACAGCAACCCTATAGATAAGGGCAGAAGTGCCGCCTCACTTGGCTTCCAGGACAGGTATCTGCACAGACGTTGACCACTCCACCCCCGCCCCCCACGGGGCCGGTGAGTCCAACCTCCAACTTGCAACACCTTTAGCAGCCGGTCTGTGACACAGCACATTCTCGTAGAAGGCTTGTTCAACAATAAAGCTTCGATTTTTGTCAAGAAGTCTGCTGGCCTAATAGACTATGTTTTTAGCAATTTCCCCCCAACTGATTAACTAAAAAAGATAAATTGTTGAATTAATATCACACATATAAATAATAAAATATCTATTCCCACAGGTCCTGAAAAGTGAGAACTATTAAATGCCATTGTTGCTACCACATTTGTAAAGAAGAGGATAACTGGCTAACACTGTTGTGGGGAGGTGTGGAAAGAATCACAAGAACCGCTGGAAAAAGTTTTACTTCAGGGACACACGTAAGCACACACTCACTAACCCCAGTGATACAAAGTTCACAAACCACTACAAACAGCTTTCCATTTCAGGATACCAACCCAGGCCATGTGCTGAGCTCACTCAGGAAACACACACCCTTGTTAGTCTGGAAACAAAAGTGCAAAGGCAAAGCTAATTCCAGTCTTTAGCGTGTGCTCATTCTCATGCCTTTTCTCTGATCAGAAATCAGAGGATGTTGACAGCCAGCTTGGGCAGCTCTGAGATTCCCCTCCGCTGCGGACTATGCCGTATGTTTCCTCAGATTGCACTCCCACCAGCCTGCAATGATTTCCTCTTCTCAGACCCATTGTTTCCACTAATATCTCTTTGTCCACGTAGGGTTCCTCCACCATCCCCTCAAGGCCACGACCAAAACAAATCAGGAGAGTTATCTCAGCTGCCATTTAATATTTATTGAATGCCGACTATGTGACAGCCACTGCAGAAAACAGAGCAAGACCAGAGCCTTGCCCTCAAAGAGTGACACTCAGTTTGGGCGGTTCCGCCACACAGATGAGTCTTCCTTGCAAGCATCTGCAGAACCAACTGCCCTCAACTCCGACAGTTGGTGGATAGGCAGACTCCAGAGGTCTGCTGCTCTGCTTTCATGGTCTCAAGCATTCACATATTCCTGGTAACAGGAACCACCAATTCTTTTCTACGAGGCTCAGCTGCCCCTTTCCTTAACATTCCTCTAGATAATACGAGTGGCAATGATTAGGAAGATGGCAAGGACCAGGACCGGGCACCGTATCATTCTGATGTACGAAAGGGAGCCAAAAGTAGGAGCCACAACCAGATGGCAGCTAACACGAGCTCATCAGAGAGAAGGGATAGCAAAACCACCACAAGGCTCTCAGACATGCTACAAAGCTTAAGCAAGACAAAGAATCCCTCTAAAGGCATAGCTGAGAGAAAATTACCCAATATTTACATGCAAGAAATTGTTCGTTTTCACCATCCATTATTTAACAATGCACCTGCCAAGTATTCAAATTGGCTTCTGAACTTTGTAACAGAGAATAGCATGCTACCTCTAACACTAGGGTTCATAAAAAAAAATTTGTTCGCCCATTTTAAACACTGATCTCTTTCAAGAGGCATAATCTTTGCATTTGAGTAGTTGCTATCAATAGTACCTACCCAGTACAATATATATATTTTTATCATTTTATTGGGGGCTTGTACAGCTCTTATCACAATCCATATATACATCCATTGTGTCAAGCATATTTGTACATATGTTGCCATCATTTTCACATTTTCTTTCTCCTTGAGCCCTTGGTATCAGCTCATTTCCCCCCTCCTCCACCCTTCCTTGCTCATGAGCCCTTATATTTATAATTTTTTTTTTTTTAGAGATAATTATTTTTTCATGTCCTACACTGACCGATGTCTCCCTTCACCCACTTTTCTGTTGTCCGTTCCCTGGGGTGGGGGTTATATATAAATCATTGCGATCAGTTCCCCCTTTCTCCCCTGACCTTCCCCTTACCCTCCTGTATCGCTACTCTCACTGTTGGTCCTAAGGGGTTTATCTGTCCTGGATTCCCTGTGTTGCAAGCTTTTATCTGTACCCATGTACATGCTCTGATCTAGCTGGATTTGTAAGGTAGAATTGAGGTCATGAAAGTTTTGGGGGTGGGGGAAGCATTAAAGAACTAGAGGACAGGGAGGGAGGGGGGGAAATGAGGAGCTCGTGCCAAGGGCTTAAGTGGAGAGCGAGTGTTTTGAGAATGATGAGAGCAATGAATGTACAAACGTGCTTTGCACAATTGATATATGTATGCATTGTGATAAGAGTTGTATGAGCCCCTAATAAAGTGATTCTTAAAAAAAAAGAACTAGAGGAAAGTTATGTTTCATCAATGCTATCCTGCACCTGACTGGCTGGTCTCTTCCTTGTGACCCTTCCGTAAGGGGATATCCGATTGTCTACAGATGGGCTTTGGGTCTCTACTCCACACTCCCCCTCATTCACATTGATAGGATTTTTTTGTTCTGGGTCTTACCCAGTACACTCTTTAACGTACAAAGGCACACATAAAAGAAGAATAGTCAAGTGAGAGCAGAATCATGGGAATCACAGGTTTCCTTCCAGACAGAGATTCCTCCTAGAATTACACATTATCTCCATGATACATGTAGAATACTTAGAAAAGTGCTTAGACTAGCACCGAGCACATGATAAACATTACCCAAAATGTTACCCATAGAAAACTTAAAATCTAAAAAGACCCTCAGGTGTAGTTGTAAAAAGCACATAGGTCTTAAAAAAAAAAAAACCAAAACCAGAATTGCTATTAAAACACCTAGAGGGGGAAGGAAAATCCATTATTTACCCCCTCCAACTGATAAAACCTTTAACACATGCACAGCATAAGTGCCTGAAACAAGTATTTGATGCAATTATAATAGCACAAATAATATCCCAAGTTAGCATGCCATCCACACAAAATTGCTCACTTTTCTGCCATGCTAATCTTAGTGTGGTATTATTGCAAACCAAAATTATTAGATCAAAATAAGTGTCCATACCACACTGGATCCCATGCCACACACTTCCCCAGAAGCCCCAGCTCGTTTACACACATTGGCAGCAATCATCAGAGCGCCAAACTAATAATGCATACATACTGGGAAGTGTGTAGCTGTTCGTGGTGGTGGAAGCGGGGACCTTCAACTTTAGATTCTGCCAACAGCAACAGTATAGAAATTATCTACTGCCATTATAACCTCCAAAGGCATTCCACCATTAGATTCCACCATTAGGAGTTTCAGATTACTGATCATTCTATCCTTCTCGACTAGACCAACCAATGTTTAATCAGATAACCCCCCAAAAAAGAAAAGCATTGTTTGGCCTGAAAAAGCCCTCCTATCAGTGCTATTAGGTTTTTAGTTTTATACATATTAACCAAGAATGAAAATATAGTATGAAGGGGCTCCAAAAGGTTCATGAGCAAATGGAATGAAAAGAAAATGGGAAATCTCATGAACTTTTGAAGTTCCCCTCATATTATCACTTTCTGAAATTTTTATCATTATTGTATCTTTATTAAGAACCGATGGAAGCCAATTTCAAACATTACAAACACAAATATCAAGAATGCAGTAGGGCAAGGTGGCATACATCTGACCACAGAAACCGTAACGCATTTACCCTAATAAGAACAAGAGACTCAAGGCTTCCTTAAAGCCCAGTAGGCACAGTTTTCCTGACTAGAGCACTCTTACAACTATTACTGGAGAGCTCTGTCAGAGGTCAGTCCCTGCCCGCCCAAAGGTAGAGCGGCAATTCCCTCATGTTCATGTCCACAAGAATGGTCATCACAAGGCAATCAAGAACCTCAGAGAACCTCGAAAATGTATGAAATTTATAGAAATATCAGAAAATAAATGAAAATTTACCAGATTTCCTCCAAAGAAATTCCCCCAAGAAGGCTGCACACCATCTGGAGTTGTGGATCTCATTACACCCACGATCAGATAGCTTTCCAAATCTTCCTATTTCCCTTCTTCCACCCTGTCTCGCTTTTCCAGAGCCCACCCCACCCAAAGGCACACACCCGCTCCGGCAGAGAGAAGAAGTTATAAAGCAAAGTCCCTTCTATTCATCCAGTTGATGCTGACAGAAAACAATTCTGATAGAATGCCTGATTGATTCATGAGCATGTACAATACCTGGAATCATCTGTCACTTCTTCAATAAAGCCCGATTCACATCTGGGGCAAATATATTCCTATAAAAGAAAGGAAGAAATACATAAACATCTCCATCATAAATCTAAGTATGTGGGTGTCTCACACTAGAATGTAATACACTAGCTGATGCTGTGAAATGCCACATGTACGCACTGACTCCCAGGAGAGTTCTTTCCTGGTAAATACAGAATCCCATGAGATGTTTTGAAGACTGCCTTTATAGCTATATGACTGGTTCCTGCTGCTAACTGAACACCCCTATGGTTTTCAAGTAAAGGACAGAGTGCAATTGCTGAGCCCTCAGTGGGATGGTTTATGGCAAGGCCAGATGAGACCATGGGGAATTCCGCAACTGGACTACTATTCCCACTCCCCTGCCCGCCGCTTTACCCCACCTCAATACACACACACACACACACACACACACACACACACACACACACACGCCTTCCCTTACAGGGGAGTATTGTATTATTTTGGAAAATGCCATATAATATAACCTCAGTCTTACAAACCCAAGAACCTAATTTTGTCTTTTGGTTACTCGTATAAAACCAAATTTAGAGAACATGTACATAAAACCCAGAATACCAGTTTATTTAGTTATAATGAAAAGGGGGTTGTCTTTACCTCTACGATTCAGCATAGTCTCTCTCAGTAAGTAAATCTACCTGGAAAGTTCCATGACATAAAGGAAAACGTGTGATAATCAAGAAGCTGAATCCCACTCTCAGGTCTTCACTAATGTTAGATGTGAAGTCTTGAGGAAGTCAGACTGCCTTTCTGAGACACAATTTTCTCATCTGTAAAATGTAGACACTCGCTTTATAGATGTATTTGTAAACATTATGATTTGGAAAATGCTTAATTCCAGGTCTGGAAAATGGTATGCTAGACAATAAAAAGAGCTAACATAGTTATTCCAGACTACAATCACTTGCTTAGTAAATAAGAAATTAGAGCAAGAAGATACATGCTAGGCTAGTCTGCTACATCCATCCCAACTATTAGCATATATGAGATCCTCAAAATCGGAGATCTGGGATCCCTCTGGCCTGGGTAGTGCCAGAAAGGGCACTGTTGGTTTGCCTCCAACTCTGCCTTTTCCATGTTTTCATTACTGACCAGCAATTCCCATGCCCCCCTTTAAAGGATACATGCTTTCTTCTGATAAAATACCATGCAATTATTTGGTTATATTTTCTGAATTACACTCAGAAGTCAGTCATGCCCTGAGATTACAAACAGATTAGATTTTAAGTGTTTATTTCCTGGATCACGACTGAAGATGACTCACTTTAGATATGACTTTTCCCTAACGTGTTTTTTCAGGAATAAGCTGAGCTTCATGAACTATAGGGCTTCCACATCCTTTGCCACCCATCTTCCTTCCAGCCTTGGCTTTACCATGATAATAATATAATCAGATACAATTCTGAATCTTAAGAATAAGGGGTATGTGTTGGGGGTAAAAGAGACGCTTCTTAATGAATAAGTACCCATTATATAACATACTGTTTAAAAAAAACAAAAACAAAAAACCTCTCCTCTTGCGGGAGAGGGGAGTTAATAGTGTTGATGATTGTATAATCCTACCCAATGGGATTGAATGACAGAACTGTATAGGAAAGGAAGAGATATACTGGAATGAGTAAGATATGTCAATAAAAATATTATATAAAACAAACCTCTCCTCAGCTTACTTAATACCATCAAATCCTCACACCAAGCCTTCCTTGTAAAATATTTCCAATATATATAACCTGCCCATCCCACCCGCCGGCACAAAATCTTACCCCCCACAAAAAAAATGCAATCAGCCATTTCTCTCATCCTTTTGTAAAAGAGAAACTATTGCCTTCAAGTTGCTCTCTACTCAGAGACAAATGACTTATTTGTTGTAAAT